AGATGCAACATGAATCGGATACAATGTTATTTAAACATCTAAATTGAATATTATATTAAACATACATTTGGATTGCGATTCTTGTCTAACGATTTATATCGAAGGGTAACGTTGTAATTTGTTACTTCTTTTGACTTTGACTCAATTGAAAATATCTTCGATGTTTCTGTTGGATCGGATTTATCTAAAAACATATTTATAATAATTGTCTATATAGGTGACAGGATGTAAATGTCTTACATTTGCTCTCACAATCAGTCGCGTATTTTGTTCCGAAACGGTAATTGTAATAACGACAATATATAAAATATAGTATATATATATCCAAGACATATATCTAAGCGCGTTTCGCTTCTCGGAAGCCGGTTATACAATTATCGCGGCTTACCTTGGCTCCGTCACTCGACGACGACGTGCTCCAGTTTAGCTCCACTACGAAGTATCGAGGACGAACGGATTCTTTCGCTAGCGACGACGCTCTACGAAATTTCTATCGTATAGCTGTATATACCAGTTGAAGCAATTGACAACGAATTTTCGATCTGCGAATCCATCGTTTTATTTACGTACGTTTAATTACATACCTTGAAAAGCGATCGATTGCGCGTGCAATTTTGTGGCCGAAAACAATTCGAAAACCGATATCTGTTTTCGAGAAGAAAAGGATTTCGCGAACCGTACAGCTGTGTAGTTCCAAAGAGAAAGACCAAGACTAACAAGTTGTAAAAAAAGAAATTATGTACTTCTATTATAATTTAAAAATTATTACTTGTAATATATAGGGGTATGTATTCGAAGGTATACAGATCTTTTCATTACGTATTAGCTAATTTACTTAAGACAACACGTGTTCTACAATACAAATTTACACGGATTAATTTATTATTCACACAGTACAGCCACATGAGAAGAATCAAAAGTAATTAATCATTCAAAGAAGGCCAACCAACGACACAATCGTGCGGCTTTAATGGTTCTCTTCTATTCGCGCTATTCAATATCTCCACTTTGCCGCTTCTCGCAAGCCAGCGGATGTTGATTATCGCGTTCTTTATTCCCATTGATTCTACTTGCGATGGCAGATTGGCAAATTATGATAATAATCTTCACTCTTTGCATTTACCGGAAATATGTCTCTTATTAAACATACGCTCGTGAAAATGAGTTTAATTTAAATCTAAATCACGGCGACGCAACGCCGAGGGAGAAGTACGCTGATCGATTCCAAATTTCGAGTGTCGAAGAGGTGTGAGTGCCTTTCTTACATTGTTCAGCAGGCGGGACCGTTTCGCGCACGGTCCCCCCCGAATGGAGGGCGCCCACCATCTTTGTATAAAGGCAGCTAAACTCCTAAAATCAATCCCTAATGAAATTAACGATCGCCACGTTGCTCGTAGTTGCCCCGGGGGCCAGGTGGATCCCTGCCTGGCGGAAACCCCCTCGGCGCGGAGCCCCTTCACGAAGGCCGAAAAGTCACACCCCAGTCACACCAGCTAACCAATCAAGGTCGAGAAGTAAGCGAAGTCGTTTGGTACGCGTCGATTGGTTAAGTTTCCGGCGCGTTGATTGCCCAGGAAATTATTTTGTGCGTGTCCAGGACGCACGTGTTGAGCGTGGCCCAGGCCTCAAGGCTATTCGCAGATGGAGATATTTCCCATAGTGGCAGTCACGTATGGTGGCGGTAATTGTTTCACGCTGATGCTCGTGCTGCCGCTCCGAGCTTTGTTCGAAGTCGTCGTTTTGTCGCTACAGGACACGTTAAGTGGCGCGCATCGACGTGAGTTGACGTAGATCATGATCGCGAGTCCAGCGAGTCCCCGAAGCCGGATTTAATTTCGCGCCCGGAACGCAACGTAAGCGTCGTATACGTTCACCACGAACGCTTACGAACGAAATGCGATGTAATAAATAGCGCTTGTCGTAACGTCACACACGCAATCTCTAAACGTTACACGCGATTTCAAGATGATCGTTATTACCGTCGAGAATGAAATATGAAATGTTCCCTTGACACATTCCGTGCCGACCACCGGTGGTCCACGCTAAACTTTCCATTCATGCCGTTTAATATTTGAATGTAGAATAGTCAATCACATAGTATACCTTTTGATAGTATATGCGGCCTGTGAATGGACAGTTGCGCAAAAGCAGCGCGATTCGAAACGTGTAAATCAGCTTGGATCAGCCGTGGATATTTTCTGCGACTCTGAAAAGCTCAAAATGGAACGAAAATCATGCGTTATCCATTGATCTAGGAAAAGTTTTTTTTTATTTAAAAAGTACACAAGATTGCCAGTCCAGCCTTGATGCTCGACGAGATGAAACTTTGCAGGCGATTGCACTGTTTGCACCTGTTTGCAAAATCCACGCGGATGCAATAATTGCGCATCGCCTGTCGGTACTCCGTGAATGCTATATCAATTTATAGTGTATCGATACACCGTCGTAATAATCGATATTATATAATCACGTCATAAATCATACGTATAGGTGCGCGCGCCGCCGAGAGTGTGCCTCTCATTAGAATCACGGACGCGGCGGGACGGTTGCATCGCTCGTGCACGAAATGATTTCTCCAAACAGCCCGCGGCTGTGGATAATAGCGAATCGCCAGACCGGCATCGACGAGAGTTTC